TGCGTGGGGGATGGGTGGGGGTTCCAACGCTTCGGCGCACATGCTGTTTGGCGCAAAACGCGCTTCCAATCTGGATTGAGTGCCGTAATTTCTTTTCTGTTAAAATTGTTTTGGTGTTTAAATATTTCGATGGCCTACCTGGTGAGTCTCGGGTAGTATCTTCCAGATTGGTGCAGAATGTCAACTTCGTCGAAGCGTATTTGGTGGCCGTCTAGCAGTGCGTGCTCCGCTACTGCTCATTTTTTCGTTTGTCCCAATCTGCAACTTCGTTTGTGCTCCGTGATCCTAGTGTTTATGCTTCGTTTTGTGGTGCCGATGTATGCTCTTCCACAGCTGCACGGAACTCTGTAGACTCCTGGTGCTGATAAAGGATCCCGTTTGTCCTTGGCCGATCTCAAAATCTCAAAGAGTGCTTCTGATTTTGACGTAGACGGTCTGGATGAGATCTAGACCTAGCACGTAGGCATCGGCAGCACGTGGCGGCGACTTCGGAGACTTGCTGGTGTTTGGGGCGAGTATCGCTATTAGTTGTCTATTATTAATTTGTAATTTCTGGAACTTTTCATTTAATTTTTTATTTATTTTGTATTGGAAATGTTCTCTTATATCAGGGTCTTCCTGTTTATTACTTCTAATTTAGGGGTCCTCTGATGTCTCACACTACTTTTAAGTGTAAATATGACCTTAGCGATTACTTGGTTGTGATCAGAAGAGACGTCTGCTCCACGGTATGTTTTCACTGCCTTGATGGCATTGCGGTATCTTTCTTTAATCATGATATAGTATCTAACTATTTTGTCTGGGTTATCCGCGGGTGGTCACCAAGTATATAACCGCCTTTCCAAAAGCCTAAAGAGCGGGTTTGTTTTTATTAGTTCCTGTTCCTTGTAGAATTGCAGTCAGTAATATGTCTACACTTTCATTACATTATCCAAACCAATGGTCTCCTACAAACTTTACTTCTTCCCTTTGCCTAGCTTTGCATTCAGGTCCTCCATGACCATGATGATTTCTCGATGTTTAGTTATTTTTAGGGCGCCTCCAATATGTTTATAGAAAGTCTTATTTCGTCTTCAATTCCTGCCATCGTAGTAACATCACTTTGATCAAATTCAGTTGGGTGTGAGATTATGAGATCTCCTTATTTGTAAGATTATCACTTTCTAAGATTGGGACGAAACCCTCCACTGCTTTTTTGGTTTTTTATCTACAATGATAGCCGCGACGTGTCTATGGTCGTTATCATTGTTTCCAGAGTAGTATATTACCTTGTTGTCCTTTGAACAGTGACCTGAGTTAGGCCATCTTCTTTATGCTTATGCTTATGCTTATTCCCAATATACTGATCTTTAGTCTTTCAACTTAGTGAAGTACGTTATGTATTTTGCCAGGTGGGGACGTGCTTTGGATGTTCCATGTGAAAATTGTTTTATTGAATAACCTTTTTTTTGTGCTCCAATTGTTTTACAAAGGTTTTTCTGGATGCCGACCTGAGAGACCTTGTCTTTTCGTATCCCGCCAAATATTGGGTTCGGAACCCCATGATCATAGTAACAAATTATAGTTTAACTATCTATGACTTACTTTGGTTTAAGTAAAATGTTTATAGGTTGGTCTTGATCTTGAACTTCTGAAGAAACTACGCATTTGGCAATAGTTTGAATAATATAAGTTTGTCTGCCGTTCTATAAATTTTTTCATCAGGAAACTTCTTTCATTTCATTTTCACTTCAAACTGTGTTCTAAGATACTTAATTTTTTATTACAAAAAAGAACCGATGGACTACATTGAGGCTATGAAGTGAGATTGAGCATTTATGGGCTGAAATGTGCAATTTGTAGGTAAACCATGTAATAACAACGCATTGATGTGCAGCATATATGATTGATTGCTTTGGGAAATGAAATGGAAAACTGATATTTTAAACTCTGAATTGTTCTCACCTGATTACAGTGACCAATTTCTACCTATTTCGTTCGGAAAAAGGATCTCTCTTTATTTGTCGTTCACTTCCACCTGTTAGCCTTGTTGATTTGCCAATAAAGAAACAGGTTTGTTGATGAGAAGAACGTCAGTTACTGGTGCAAACAAATTAGTGCTTGAAAATGTTCTGCTTTAGCTTTCTGGAAATATCCGAGGTTTTTGGAAGAAATTTACATTTTTTTCATTTCAAAAGTCTTGCACACATTACATTATTACATTAAAACATTACAACAGCATTAACACAACCTGTACACCAAATGTTACATAATTTCGATTTTGACAACGCAGGTATATTGGTTAAGGAACCAAATTATCATAAAAGAAGAATCGAAGAAATAATACAAATACAAAAGCATACAAATACAAAAGCAAGCAAGACAGCAAAGACCTAAATAAATATAATGTTTAGCAATTATGAGGTAAGTTTTTCAAATATTTTGCTCTCCCGAAAGGAGAGTTTCTTTTTCCTCAAGAACTAATAAATATTTTAACACTTTATAAATTACAATTTTTGTACAACATATTGTAATTGTAAATTGGTGTTTGTAGTTTGAAAGAATCTTAAAATCTGATTATGGCGTTGCTGTCTTGCCGAAACGTTACAAAATAAACGATATACAAAAATTTTCTGTTTCACACTGTGACTGGAGCCCAGGAAAGATAATAATATTATAACAATTACACCCAGTCAGGAAAATAAATCAAAAGAAAGTTCAAATTAAATCCATTTGCCGTTTATTAGAAGCTTTCAATCTATATTTAACACAATGTTTTACACACCTTTGTGCTTTAGTGCGCTGAGGATTGCTGCTTGCCTTTTTATTTCGTTTTTTATAGATTATTGATTGGATTATTGCTGATTTATTATTTTTTTTTATTGATTATTACTAGATTGACAACTTCACTTTTTCATTGTTACACACCAAAAACACCAGAACAAAAATAAATGATAGGGCGCCGAACTGGCACGTTCATAAATGTTCTATCCGCGCCAACATGCCGCCCGCCTTGAAAGCCTCAGGTTTCAATGTCCAAAGGCAGGATGCACAGCTTCCTTGCAGGTCGTTGAATGGTGGAAGTAGCCGTTCTGACGGTGGCTGCCCTTACAATACCGTCCGACCCAGGTTGGACAGATATCATACGTCCTAGCAACCACTTGAGAGGTGGAAGCCCATCTTTCTTGGTGAGGACCACTACGTCAGGTGTCAATAGAACTGAGGAGTTTTTCTTCCACTTGCTTCTCTGTTGAAGTTCAGGAACATATTCTCGGGACCATCGGGACCAAAACAGTTGCATTATTTTTTCAGTTCTTTGGAATTTTGATAAACATTTTCTGGGATGCAGCTATAGTCTTCTTCAGGCAGACTGGTTAGAGACTCTCCGATCAGGAAGTGTGCAGGAGTGAGGGGATTAAGGTCAGAGGAATCAGAGCTCATAGGGGAGAGTGGTCGAGAATTGAGGCACGCCTCAATTTGTGATAAAACGGTTCAGTACTCTTCAAATGTTAATGGCGTAGATCCTATAACTCGTTTAAGATGAAACTTTACACATCGAACTCCAGCCTCCCATAAACCACCAAAATGAGGTGCCCTTAGCGGTATAAAGTGCTATTTTATGCCATCATTGTTAAGAGAAGAGTCTATGGTGTCTTTGTTTTTAGAGAGAAAATTTTGAATTTCATTTTTTGCTCCCACAAAGTTGGTTGCATTGTCACAAAATATTTCTGCACTGACGCCACGTCTTGAAAAGAATCGTTTTAAACAACTTAAAAAGAATTTCGTCGATAGATCACTAACCATTTCAAGATGAATGGCCTTTGTAGCAAAGCAAATAAATATACATATCCATGCCTTTATTGGTTTAGTTTATAGTTTTTGGTAGTGCGGTCTTTTAGTATCACAGGATCCATGTAGTCTAAACCGGTAGTTTTAAAAGGTCTAGTTGGTGTCAACCGTTGCTTGGGGAGGTTGCCCATAATATGTTGAACAGTAGGGGCATTAAATCGAAAGCAAGTTGTACAAGATCTTACCACCTTCCTTGTTATATTGCGACCAGACAACGGCCAGTATCGTTCCCTAATTGAGGAAAGTAAATATTAGGGTCCTGCATGGAGCAATCTCTTATGCTCATGAGTAATAATTAATTCGGTAAGTTTATGCCGAGCAGGTAAAATTGCAGGATGCCTCTTGTCCAGAGGAAAGACAAAGTGTCGCAATCTACCACCCACGCGTAAAATATTGTTAGAATCCAAGAACGGATTTAATGAAATTAGATTGCCCTTTAATGATAAAGGTTTTCCTTTCATTAAGTCATGAATATCGCTCTTAAACTCTTGCGCTTGTACTAATTGTATGAGCCGAAATAAGCTATGGTTCAATTCCTTATGAGATAAAGTGCCGACCAATCTAGATTCCGAAGAGAGTTGGCAGTTCTTAATGAAACTTAAACATTATGCGAAAACTCTCTCTAATACGGTAAGGATGAAAATCGTTCGAGTAAGGAAAAATTATCCTTGTTACTGGAAAAACAATTGATTTTTGTTTGTCGCTGATCTGGTAATTCTGACTCATGAAGATTGATGATATCAACGGGCCAATATTCAGAACCTTTGGAGAGCCATGAAGGTCCATGCCACCATAACTGGCTGGACATTAGAACCCCAGGACTCGCACCACGCGATAGAAGATCAGCGGCGTTTTCCGTGGTACTTACGTAATGCCAATTCTTTGGAGTAGTAAGAGTTTGTATTTGGGATATTCGATTTCCAACAAAGATCTTGAAATTATGGGATTCCGCTCTAATCCAAGATAAAACTATAGTCGAATTACACTAGTAACGTGCCTTGAAAATAGAGAGCTGTAACGAATCTATCACCTTCCCAACGAGTTCTGACAGAAGTACAGCCCCACACAATTCTAGCCTCGGAATTGTGATAGTTTTGAGAGGTGCCACGCGAGTCTTGGGGCAAAGCAAACTGATATGACACTCGTCCGACGAGTCCACAGCTCTTAGATAGACGCAAGCGCCATATGCGAGCTCACTAGCATCTGAGAAACCGT